CAACAAATTAATTGTTGTAGGCTAACCCGATCTCATGAAAGTGCGTGTAGCACGATTTTCTGCTTCTATTTGGCGTCATATTTCCATGCAGAAATTGACTTTGGCATGCAAAAGACTGATAAATTCATAATTAATGTCATGGTTGGTTCAGTCGACAGAAATACGGGACACATGCCTATAATAACTGCTGAAATGTTTGCGGGGCAAATCTCAGATCAGTCTGAGCGCTCATGGTACTCACAGTGCAGCCGTACACCTGCAGGCGCCACTGACTCGGACGGTTGTCATGGTAAAAAACACAGTAAACAGCAACCGTTCGCATGTCAGCGCTTAATGCGCATATCCTATATGAAAAGCATTTTACGGGGCCCTTGGCTTTTGGGGGCCCAAGGCGGTCGCCTACCTTTGCCTAATTGGTAAGTCCGCCCCTGATCAGAAGTTTAAACTCATATGTTTTAAAACAGATGATTTCAGAGTGATAAACATGATAATCAGAACCAAAACAGATGTTTTTAGCAGATTACAAGCTGTAAAGGCGCAGTTCTATTCTGGAAAAGGGGGCGGGGAGCAGCAGCTAGTTTGCATTTAAAGATGCAGGCCCGAAAAACAGCTTGTTTCTGCTTCCACAAATAGGCATTTTCAAAATTATATAATAAATTATCTGTGGAGTATTTTTGAGCTGAAACTTCACAGACACATTCTGGGGACACCAGAGACTTATATTACATATTGTAAAAAGGGGCATAATATGTCACCTTTAAAGCTTTTTTTAATTAATATGGAAAATTAATAGGAAATATGCTTTGATAATCTAAGGATGCTGCGCTCACTGTTGCACTCTATTTCTGCTCTGTTAGCGTCACTTTTTTTCTTCGATATATGTTCAGTAAATGTCCCTGCTGTATGTAGAACAGCTGTTTAGTACAAAATGGTAGACTCAACCAAACACATGTCTTGTTGTAAGACCAAAAGTTTCCCTCTGAGATGTTTGCCGGAGGTATACAGGCAAAGTAAAGTGTGACATCAGTGTTCGCGGTTTGATTAGCACATCCGACTTGCTGCGTTATTTGCCAGCTTGATAAATTTCTGGCTCTTTTTTATTTTTTTACATTATTTTGTTCTCCAAACTGCAGGATTATGCAGTGTTGAAAATTTAATCACTCAGAAGTGATCCAAGACTTTGAGGGGAAATAAGCCCGTTTTAAGTCATCAAGCCAATTACTTTGTTCTGTGCTGCGGGTGATGCTTTGCCTTATGAAACATTAAAGCGCAACTCATGTATCAGTATCAAGACCATCCAAAACCTTTGCAGACTAAATTAGACAAGTTTTTATTTGATTCGTGGCCTTTGTGATACTTTTATTTAGTAAAGAGATAAGAAAAAAGGATTTGGAGGAGGGAACGGAAATGACTTGATTCATTTTAGTGACACTTATGAATCTGTTCATCAAAAGAAAAGTTTAAAAAGTTTTGATAAGTTTAAAAAGTGTTTAACATTTAAAAACGTTAAACGAAGATCCAACTAAAATATTTCAGGAAAATATATTCCATGAAAACATTATACTGTAAATATTATTTTTGTGAACATTATTAAATTCCAGATAACTTTGAACAAATGTTCTACTAATGTTTGGAAGGACATTTCTTCATAACTTTGAGAGAATGTTAGTCAGAGTTCTGAGAATGTTCCCTGTTAGCTGGGTTGTGTGTTATGAGTCAATCATTGAATTATTCACTCATCAGATTTGTCATTCGCAACCCCCCCAAAAATTTGAGATTTTAAAGGGAGAGACTACAGTGAAGATTTGCTTACCAGCCAAGTTTAAACTTTGTATAACAATATGTTGAAATGCTAAATGATACACCAACTAGATTAGTTTTAAAGGGGTCATATGATGCGTTTTCGTGTTTTCCTTTTTCTTTAGTGTTATGTAGCTGTTTGTACATGTGGAAGATCTGCGAAGGTTCAAAGCTCATAGTCTCCCATAAAAGTTTTTTTATTATCTAAATGAGAAGGTTAACTGAAACTTGTCGAAAACTTCCTGATCAAACACTCCCGATCAAATGTCACTATGTCGAAATATTTGCATAATGCCGCCCAAATATTTACGCAAAGAAAGAAGGCGTGGTTTGAGGTATGGCAGTAGCAATGTTGTGGAGATGCAGTGTGTTTCTACGAAAGCAAAAGCACTTTATTTGGCCTTCCGAAAGTGGATGCAATTAGGAATCAGTGGTTAAGATTTATTTACAACGCTGTTCCAGAACAGTACAACCCAAACGTTTGAGTGTGTGCAGTGTATTTGACGGAGGACAGTTTCCTGAACCTGTGAGAGTACAAGGCCGGCTTTGCACAAAGGCTGTTTCTAAAAAATGGGGCTTTTCAAACTTTACTAGTACAATCTGGCGCTTTTGAATCAGAGCCTGTGAGAATATTATTTGCTATTGACTGTTCAAATGCGGAATTTGGTGAAGTGTAGAGTAACGCGTATTGTTTGTCGTTCTTACGATCACAAGTGTAAATATGGATTTATGTATACAAATGTAGTATTCTCTGTTCTCCGCTTATAACTGCCGGCTAAACGACGATAAAAACATGATTCACTGCGTGTTCTTTCACAATGGATGCTCAAGCAGAGCTGAAGTAGAATGCGCCCACTGTGCTTTCACACTGGCGGCATCACATGCAAGTTTACCACTCTAAATACATTCAGCTCAAGTCGCGCTTGCAAAGTTGGTTCCGATCAATCGGCTTGCTCATCTGCATTTTCAGAATCTGACTCGGGCTCAAACCGATGGTAAAACTGATGACATTATTAACTGTTCTTATAATTGCTTCGGAAGCGGAAGTTCACGAGTATGATAAGGGGCATTACGTTTCCGACACATGCTTGAGATGTTCGGCCAATCACAACACACTGGGTCAGCTGGCCAATCAGAGCACACTGAGCTATTCGGAATGAGAAACTTCGTAAAAATTGACGCGTTTAGAAAGACTGGGCAAAGTAGATCTCCAGTAATGAATAGTACATGAAAAATAAAGTTTTTTTTAACATTAAAGCATGGCAACATGTTGTCTTACACCCAATACACAAAATAAGGATCTTTGAAAATAGCATCATATGACCCCTTTACCAGATTTTAAATTTTCTTTTTTATTTGACTCTTGGCCTTTTTTGCCACTTTTATGAACAATTTGTTTTGTTCATTCAAAAGATTTGTTCAAAAACACTAATTCGTTCACCAAGAAAGCACCACTACTAGACAAATTTAAACTTGTCTGCATAAAAATGTGTGATGTTAACACCAACTACGCTAATTTTAACAGATTTTTCTGTTTCTATCTTTGAGCGACACACGTTAAAGGGGTCATATGACGTTGCTAAAAAGAATATTATTTTGTGTATTTGGTGTAATGAAATGTGTTTATGCGGTGTAAGGTTAAAAAAACACCTTATTTTCCACATACTGTACATTGTTTCTCCTCTATGCCCCGCCTTTCTGAAACGCAGCGATTTTTACAAAGCTCATCGTTCTGAAAAAGCGAGGTGTGCTGTGATTGGCCAGCTATCCAGTGCGTTGTGATTGGCCGAATACCTGCGGCGGCGGCCTACAGTGAGCAGAGGCCGGGGTCTAGCGTGAGGAACGGCCGCAGGGTTAGAGTGAGCAGAGGCGGGTGGGCTTGAGAATGGTGCGGCCGGCGATTTCGACGGAGCGTCCGGAAGGACATGTGACGACTCCGCTTCGTCCACGGTGAAAGCCGATTCGGCGATCCACAGCGCAAAGTTGTAGTATTTCCTCAGCGACCAGCACGGATCAGCTCCAGGCATGACGAAGCAGATATCGTCCTCTTTTGGAAGACCAAACAAAGTAGTTTCGCTTTCACAACGAAGCACACAGCGTCTTTACGACATGGCGGCGGCAACAACAATACTACAGCGAGAATAAAAGTTACGCCTTCTTTCTTTGCGTAAACATTTGGGCGGCATTATGCAAATCTTCCCACATAGTGATGTAGATATGTGGGGGCGTGTTAGAACGAGCCATTTTAGGTAGGTGTGGCTGACTCTTAACTTTTATAAAGAATATCTCTTTGGATTTGAGACTTTAGTCTTTGCAACTTTACAGATCTTCTTTATGCATCAAGAGCTTGTAACACTCCAAAGAGAAATGAAAACTTGAAATCGCATCATATGACCCCTTTAACTTTCAGCATTTCACTAGTTAGAAGTAAGATGGATGGGTTTTTAAAATGTTCACATTTTCTTCACACACAAAAAGTTTATTTGTATTTTTTTTTCCTTTTCACGGAAGGGTTGTTTAGGGAACAACTTCTATAGAATCGCTGCGAAAAAACAACAACAACAAAAAAAACCTTTTGGAAGATTTTTATGAACAGTGACCATGATGCTTGACTAAAATATTTGACTTGCTCAGGTGCTGCACATGCTGTTGAGTGAGAGTGAATGTGATTCTCTAATGTATTTTCCCCTCCAGCAGCATCTTCTACCAAGACGACATATGTCAGCTACAGCAATCATGCCATCTGAAGAGGGACACTCTCTGTGGGCGGAGCCGAGGACGGGGCCCTTTCTGAAGCAGGATGTCTGTCATGTGACATGCGCTGACAGGCAAATGGGCCTGGAACGGGCATCTGAGCATGAGATTTTTATATCGTTCTGCATAAATCTAAAACCTGCAGCATACTGGAACATGAATGGACGTACGGGACCTTCCGGTGAGACTGCTATCTTGCTTTCAAGAGCTACTGATCCTGCCATGAACACACGTGAACACGCACACACTCACAAAACTGAAGGTGCCGGCTTGCAGTCATACGAAAAAAGAACTTTCCACAAATAATCGTGCAAACATTCTGCAGGTGGAGACGTTCACGGTAAACTTTGGAAATGAGGATATAAAAAAAGAGAAAATATATGAAAACTACCAGAGTCAAAATATGTTTGTTGTTATTGTATTTTTGTGGTCGTGCAGATTTTTTCATTCTTGTCCCACTTTGTCAGAAACCTGCATTCTGAGATGACGTGTCTTGTATTGGCTGACTGAATTGTAACTGCGGGGTTGTGAAGCTGTAAAATGCCATGGTTGAAGCATGCTAGTTTTTATACCAAAAAAGAAAATGATTTAAAAAATATTTATTTATAATAAAGGAATGTTTTGCAAATGTGTAGCGTTGTTAGATGTGTATTTGACAGTGAGATTTGTTTTTCATTTTGTCATCACTCTCATTCATATTCAGTCACCACCAGAGGCCAAAATGCAAACTCTATTTTGCAGCTTTGTATCCCATTTAAACCCAGTTTGTTTGGGAATTTTTTTAAGGTTCATAATGGGCTCTATTACCACAGAAAAATACCTCTCATGTTTACAGTGTTTCTAATGAAAGTCTCTTAAGCAAGGCATTGCAGAGGGCAAAATTAGCACGGTCATGGAAAACCTGAAAATATCAGGGAATTGGGATTTGTGGGCCAAGAAAAAAAAAATCTTTAAAAACCATATCTATTTTTCTACACTGGGAAAATTTGTTTTTACACCTATTGGTGTAGACTTAAACATTATTATTTTTAAGTAGAAAGACTGAAATGGTATTTCTTGTAAAACATGCTCCAATAATCTTTAATTTTGTAGTAAAAAAAAAAATCATTTTTGCAGTGTAGTTATTTCATCTGCCAGAAATAGTTTCTTTGTGCAATTCCTGTAAAATTGATTTTTCATCCAGTGATCATGAACAACTAGAAAAGTCAGATTAGCCAAAAGATGCATGATCTCTCACAAAGATAAACACTGAAATACTGCACTTGTTTAAAAGTATAGCCTCAAGACTTAAACATTATACATAAGACTAGTGTGATAAAATCATTTGGTTATCCTGTTAACCCTGTAAAGCCTGACATATGAAATACTAGAGAAATACTATAGTGCTACTACATAGAAATGTAAGCATCATATGATGCATCAAGCTTTTATGGCTCATGTAGTAATATGGAGCTCATACTCAAGGAGGAAAAAGCATCTTAATTTTATTCAGAGGCCCAAACTGAGGAAAAATGTGCAATGTATTGCAGTTGCTGATATTTATATTGCCAAAAATAAATAAATTCTGATAGCTTGTAAAGCAAATCAGTGAGATTTTCAAAACAATAGAAAAGACTACTTGACTTTAGTTTATTTTAATTTTAATTAGTTAATTATTTTTTATTTCAGCTTTAGTTATTTTAGTAGGCTACATAAGTTAAACTAAATTCAAATGACTGGCACAGCAGGTGTAGAGTGAGACTCGGGCCACAGTGCTTGAGGATGTCTTGTCGGTTTGCCCCTCCACGGCGGACCTGATCTAATTCAATTACTTTGGCCCCCGTACAAACGTGCTTCCGAGAGCATCCAATCTCCCGTCTCTCTCCCCTTCTGTCTGTCTCGCCTGCTCTTCCATATGTCAGTCAGGAGGTACAGAGGCAGATGTGTCTCAGGTAAGGGATCAACAAACTCATCTTTTTGGAGGTGACTTTAGACCTTGATCTCCTCCGGTTTTTCTCTAAGGCTGTTTTCACGCTTGATTTAACTTTATGTAGCCTGCTAAAATAACTAAAACTAGATGTAATGTTTGTAAAAAAAAAATAAAAAAAAAGTTTGATGTGCAAAGCCGACCTCCATACGTCATCTGCCCGAAATTGCTTCCAGTGTACAACAGTGAGCGCAAGCAACATTAAAGTGATTATTACGTTTTGAATATGGATATTTTTCTTACATTTATGAGACGTAATCTCTCTGGGGAACTTGCATGAAAGAGGCACCTATGAGTGAGACAAGCTCCAAAAGCTCATGCAAAACATGTGTTTACTGTCTTTTGCTTCTCAAAAATATTCAAGAATGAATTAATTTTAAAGGTATGTTGATAGCTTTAGTTTTGTATAGTTTAAAAATGTATTTTATTCATCATTGTTTGCCCTTCTAATACTGTATTTGCATAGTGAATTCTGATTGACCTACTTTTTAAAATGTATTTGCATACTCAATTATAATTGGTATTTTTTGCTTCCATTTATTTAACCATGTAGAACAGCATTTATACTGCATAGAATGTGTCGTATTATGTGTTTAATCTCACGTGCAGATAACTTTATGCCATTTCTTTTACACATTTTTCTTTTACACTTTTACCGAATCTTCCCTAAAATCACGAAACCTTAAACTTCCCTAAAACACTTCCTTTACAAAATGTCAATCTAGTAATGCTGCTCAGTCTCATTGTTCTGTTATTTTTTTCACAGCTTTGTGATTTCTCTCCCTCAGCATCGGTACAAGACAGTGAACATATGAATGGCTCCAACGTGTTTAGAAAAACACCACACTTGGGATGAGCGAGCTGTCAGAAATGTCATAGCTGTCAATCATTTTGTCTCCCTGAATACCGTCGAGACGGAAGCGTTACTGGTGCTTCATCTGGTTAATTACGATCGGAGTGCTTGGGATTTAACGGCATATGAACGCACACATGGTATCTGATACAAAATCGTACTACTGAAAACCATCAGTAACTTATTTTTATAAATGTAAATGCTTGTATCTTAAAAATAACATACTCTGCATGATAATTTTTCACCATGTCTTTGAACCTTTAGAAGTAAACAGGCTATTTTTATGTTGCTGTGCCTTTAAGACTTTGCATGTGAGCTTTTGTGCTTTGGTCTGCTTTCACAGGGGCTGCAGGTTTGCTGTTTGGATCCAATAAAGTTCGCACCATCTCTTCATTTCTTACATGGCGAATATTCAAGGATCTGCAGAGATGTAGGTGCCACGCCACTAAAAGCAGCATAAGGTTTGGCAAACATTTTTACTCTAATGGTTAATTCTTCACAGTATCTATCCTTTTTCCTTACTTCATGTGACTAAAAAAACCAAGCTGAACACCAAGAGTTGATGTGTAAATATGGGTGATTTTCATAGTACATTTCACCATTTTATCTCAAAACATAAAAATGAGTTTGATTCTAATTTCTCCACTTGCTCGCCAATGGATCCTCTGCAGTGAATGGGTGCCGTCTGAATGAGAGTCCAAACAGCTGATAAAAACACCACAATAATCCACAAGTAATCCACACCACTCCAGTCCATCAATTAACGTCTTGTGAAGTGAAAAGATGCGTGTTTGTAAGAAACAAATCCATCATTAAAGTGGTTTTAATTTCAAACCGTTGCTTCCAGCTAAAATATGAGTTCAAAATCCATAATATTGCTTTCTCCAGTGAAAAAGTTGTCTGGTCTGAATCAGGAGAGAAATATGCACAGATAAAGCACCGTTTACAAGCAAAAAAATAAAAACGGTCCAAAAGCATTCTAAACAAATTTCTTAGTTGTGAAATGATAAATCCTGTCAGTTTCGTTTTCTGTTGCTTGATTAATTCTGCCTCCCCGTGGATTTTCTGTCCTGCAGACTGTCCTTGATATTCAGTAAACATGGGTGGTCATGTGTTTATGTTTTGAGAATAAGTCTTTTTTTTCAGTAGATGGTCTTTCTGTGCTGTGGACAATCCAGTTGCATAGTGCATTTAGCTCCTTGATCCCAAAATATCAAGGTAAATTTGATTATAAGTTGCATAGTCTTTTATATGAAATTTTACACATGTATCTCAACAAACTTGTCAATCATGCTCTTCACACATCAGCATAAAACCCTCTCGTCATGTCTTCTCAATCTGTTCTTGTAGCAGTATAACACGGCAGCCACAGGCACACTGTATGTGGGCTTGCAGGCACAGGAGCAGCTCACAGGCAGAATCTCACATCTTGACAGCATCATTGAGAAATGGCCGCACGCTACAAAAATCCCAAAGCTGGCAGTGAGCTGCGCTTGTGAAGCTCTTGTTTGTCATGCTCGGCTGCGGTCGTGTTCCCTCCATGCAAGCGAAACTGTGAAGAATGTACAGGGTTATGGTTGAGTTTTATTTCTTTTTCTTGCAAATGTGGGAAAAAAATTTTATAGAGAGCCTCTGATTTATGAGCTTAGAAATATCAAGGAGATATCGAAATGTTTCTTATGAGGTCACCGTCTGAGCCTATGCAGAAATTCTGACAAATTTATTTTTAATCAAATTTATTATAAGAAAATGTACTATTTTTGTTAAACCACTTACATTAATTCTTTATACAAAAATGTGCATTAACTCTGTAAATCAACGTTTTAAGTGAGGTGGAAGACAGTAAGGAATAAAAAGTTACATTTAAAGACAGTACAACAAATACCTTTTAAATCACTTATAAATACTTTACATTTGAATACTTTTTTAACATAAATTTGAATTACAGTTATGAGAGTAATGTCTAAAAGGAATAGTTCACCCTCAGGCCATCCAAGATGTAGATGAGTTTGTTTCTTCATCAGATTTGAAGAAATGTAGCCTTCCATCACTGTCTCACCAATGGATGCTCTGCAGTGAATGGGTGCCGTCAGAATGAGAGTCCAAACAGCTGATAAAACATCACAATAATCCACAAGTAATCCACACCACTCCAGTCCATCAATTAATGTCTTGTTAGGCGAAAAGCTGCGTGTTTGTAAGAAACAAATCCATCTTTAAGATGTTTCAAACCATAGCTACCAGCAAAAATATGAGTCGTCTATCCATAGTATTGCTTTCTTCAGTGAAACTTCTAAATCAGGAGAGAAATATGCACAAAGCACTGTTTACCAGTGAAAACAGTCCAAAAGAGTTCTAAAGAAATATGTTGGGTTTTGATGAAAGGACAACAGGAGATGAACCTTTTCACTTATTATGGATTATGGACTCATATTTTGGCCAGAGGCAATGGTTTAAAGTTAAAACACCTTAATGATGGATTTGTTTCTTACAAACACACAGCTTTTGGCTTCACAAGACATTAACTGATGGACTGGAGTGGTGTGGATTACTTGTGGATTATTGTGTTTTTATCAGCTGTTTGGACTCTCATTCTGACGGCACCCATTCACTGCAGAGCATCCATTGGTGAGCAAGTGATGCAATGCTACATTTCTCCAAATCTGATGAAGAAACAAACTCATCTACATCTTGGATGGCCTGAGGGTGAGTAAATGTTCAGCAAATTTAAATTTTTTGGGTGAACTATTCGTTTAATGGTTTGAAAATAGTTTATGGCATTTGTTTGTATGGATTCAGTGTGGGTGTTCAAGAACTACGATTCTGACTTAAGGCCCTTGAGGAGGAAGCAAATTATAAAGACAAACCACCTTTTGTTCTTGAGGAGTCATTGACCTTTTACCATAAAATGTGCGGAATTTGTGAAAATCCCTTCGGTTTCATCTTCGGTAGCTTGATGAATTCTGCTTCCCTCCGTATTTTCTGACCTTCGGGCGATATTCAGGGTTATCGATTTAAGTCCAGTGCTTTGGACTCTGACACTTTCAAGCTGCACACCAAAGTATGCAGAAGCATCCCAGAAAATGCACAAAAATCCTTGCTTTGCAACACAAGCCTGTTTGTTAGAAGGCTCTGCAGTTCTTTACTAAGTAATTTGCTTTATTAATGTCAGTTATGATTGGAGAATATTAATTTTGTCATGTAAAATATAAACATCTGTGTGTATTTGCATCTGTGCACCAGGGTTATTATAGTAAAATAAATCCCTAAAAAATACTTGAAATAAAAGAAAAGTTTATCTGAAATGAAATGTAAACACTTAAATGTATTTTAATTCAGCTACTTGCCAAGGCAACATTTCTCCTTTTCATTTAGTTAAACGTTCCTAAAATAACTCAAACGAAAACAAAACGAATAAAAACTAAAATAATAATAATAAAAACTATTTAAAATTACACACACACAACAGAATTAGTTTAACTTGATGTACTAAAATAAGCTAAAATAAAATCAATAAACAACCAACAAAAACTAAAAAACGAAATATAAAAAACACATTACAATGGCCAAAACACGCAACAAAATCACTCAAATAAATAAAAATGTATTAATACACTAAAATAACTAAAACTGTAATAGAAATGGATTAAAAAAAAACTAATTAAAAAACTAATACAAATGACAAAATAAAACTCACAACAAAATTACTAAAATGACTAAAACTGTACTAAAGTAACTAAACCTTAAAACTGAAATAAAATTAATCATTAAAAAACTAAAACTATGTATACGAATGTATTCAATAAGTAATTAAATTTTTTTTTTAAATTACAAAACACAACACATTTATTAAAATTGAAATATAAAGTAATAAAAAAAGCTACAAAATAAAATAATTTAAAAAAAGACAAAATTACTAAAGGTTTAACTAAAATTTAAATAGAAATGGAAAAATATATAAAATGATAATATAAAAATATAAAAATGAAAAGAATCCATAATAATAATAATAATAAAAACTATCATCATATTTCAATGATATTTAATTGAATGATATTGCTGTGAATGTTTGAGTGCATGTCTGCAGGCATGTTCAAGATTATCAGCTACTTTCATCTTTTTAAAAGCTAGTTTTGCTTTAAAAGCAGTGGCCCGTTATCGTAATGACTCCAGACCTGGTCAAATGTGATCCTCAAAGTACCCACGGCAATTTTCCACACACAAAACTTTTAAGGCCTAACGGGATTTTTCCTCTAATGGCAGACGCGAGGGACAGCAATGCGGTTCGGCTCCATTTACAAAGCGCCCAGAGCCTTTTCACTGCGAGTCCTGACACATGGGCTGAGTGTTTTGAACACGGAGGGCATGTCGTCAGTTATGCACTTCGGTGAAGTTTTAATGAAGGTGCCGCTTTTGGTCTCCGAGTCCACGGGGCTGTTAGAGACCGTGTTCCTGGACTGTGTATTGATGATCCTGCCAAATGGGTATCTTTGAGCCGAATGGTTCGACGCGTTTCGCCGTGTTCCATTGTGTGATATTTCATTCATCTCGGTGTTGAGAGATAGAGAAAGGTGAGGATGATTGAAAAACGAGATGTGGATGACATTGCTCGGTAACAAGGGCAGATCTGGTCGGAGCCGTCAGGTTCGAGTGGGTAGATGTTCACAGCACATTCATAAAGCATAAGGCTGGGAGAGGAACTAAATGTACGCTACTATAACCAGCCGTGAAGGGGGAAACATGTCGCTGATGTACGACCCATTTTAAAGTGCGTGCAATTTTAAAGCTTCTGTCAAATGTTTTTCAGTTTTAGCAACGCTGCGGAAGCTACTTTGAAACTGTTGCTACAAGCTGCTCATGATTTTCAGTAAGTTCAATTACAGGCAAGCAATTTTAGCGTTAAAAAAGATCAGTTTACACTAAATATCACCAGTATGACTTGAAAACACCATATTTTGCATCTGTATGTTGGAGCAAAGAAAATCAGTGATGAAAATGGTTTTTCATCATCAAAAATGGAAATGGGCTGTTGATGAAAATATTATGCAAATCATATAACACCATATTAACAATGCAAAAATATTGTTTTTAAATGAGAAACATCTAAAAAGAATGCAGAATGTTTTTGTCATTTTTTTATTAACTTTTTTAATTAGGGTTTTTTTCTATTCATTTTGTTTCAGTTATAGTTTTAGTTATTTTAGTACATTAGTATATCATTTTAGTTATTTGACCAATTTAATTAGTTTTTGTCATTTTTACATCCGGTTAAGTAAATTTGAAATGTTGCCTTGGCAGTTAGCTAAAATAATAAATGAACACTGCACAAGCAATGTCTTTGAAGAAGTAACATCTACAAATAATGTAATCGCTATATTGAATATATGCTTTAATTTAGCATTTTCTCATCAACCAAACAGGTATTTCTGTCTACTAAAATTAGATGCTCGTAGATGCGTATCCCATAAGCGACCACTTTAATAGAACTTTTTTCATATAGTATTTTTTGTCTGTGTGTGTGTCACTATGCTGTTTTATGCTCTATATTTTGTATGGAAAAGAGCAGCATAAACATTCTTCTTTTTTTTTTTACTTTTGTTTTTCTACAGAAGTAAGAAATTAATGTCGGCATAATTGTGACATAATTGTCATATAAAGACATAATTGTGGATTAATGTCAGAATTCAAATGTTTGTGGAACAAGATATTAAAGAAAACAAACAAACAAAAATACTGTTCTTTTCAACTTTCTAATCTCCAAAAGAATCCTGGGGGGGAAAAAATATGTATATATATATATATATATATATATATATAATTTTCTGGAGATTAGAAAGTTGAAAAGAACGGTCTTTTTATTATTATTTTTGTTGTTGTTGTTATCTTAAATCTGTGAAATCCAGGCTAACGTCTCAAAATCTAATTATGAGAAAGCAAGCATCAACGTTTGATTTCAACCATTCATTTCACTATGATTTCAATCTTTGACATGGCCTTACTCAGTCAGTATTAAAGAGATCAAGGTTACATTTTCACAGAATGTTCTTCACATTATGAAGGATGATTTTATGCAAAATAGTAAATCACAAAAAAAAAGACTTTAGCTGGGTTTTCACAGACAGTCACATATATGTGTGTGTGTGTGTGTGTGTGTGTGTGTGTGTGTGTGTGTGTGTGTGTGAGTGTGTGTGTGTGTCAGGGTTTCCACAAAAAATATTAACAGTGCTATAAAAATAAGAAATGTTTCTTGAGCAGCAAATCAGCATATTAGCATGATCATGTGACACTGAAGACTGGAGTAATGATACTGAAAATTCAGCTTTGAAAAGTTATTTTAAATAGATATAATATTGAACAATTTTACAGTGTTTCACAATATTACTGCATTTATTTCATATTTTTGATTAAATAAATGCAGCCTTGGTGAGCAAAAGAGATTTATTTTAGTTTCCATAAAACACTCACGGCTAACAGGGAAGCTGTAAAGGTGTTTTACAATTTAAAAACTTTGAAAATAAAGTGTCCTCGACTACAAAAATGCAACAATGTGACCTCCTCCATGTCTGAGAAATTCAGGGAAATGTAGCAGTGTGAAAAATGGCGTAATGCAGTACACTCCTTCTCCTGAAGCATGCGGCAAATGCATTAATGTCGACAGAACTGCGTTTATGCACGATGTCTCTAATTAATGCTACTCACTGAGTAAGTTCAACAAGGGTCCTCGCTGGTGACGGTCACCCAGAGGTTGGCATGGTAACAGATCTCTTAACAGGCTGATAATGAAGTGCCCACTAGTTCTGCTGACCTCTGTGGCTCATATTCGATGCTGCCCGTGGGTCAGAAAGGTCACCTACTGAGTGTGGACGAGGACCCTGAGGAATGTCAGCTCCAAACACGACTGCGACCCGGAACGCTTACAATCTACTTCCATCCTTTTTCCCAGAGACTTGTCTGAAATGTCATTACTCATGCAGATGTTGTGAAATTAGCAATTACGTGGAAGAAAAAAATATCATTGTGGGCTGGAACGGCACTTATTCGAAATGTAATGACAACCTTTCTCTTGTTGTTTTGCAAGAAAATGGTGTGCCGTGATTTTAAATGGTGTTCAAAATAAAACCCCTTGTGAGACAAAAGACAGTATTTCAGAGCAAAAACCTACTTATTCACTAACAACACTGTCCAGCTTAACTAGCTGCTCTTTGCGCTGCGATAGTGCCATTTGTATTCAAATGAAGTTGTTGCAAATCACATGTTTATTATTATATATGTGCATTATTTACTAAAGAGCTATTTTCCTAATGTGAAAAACATTTAGAATTCCACAAGCATAAATAATTATTTAGTCTTGTTTATATCTGTAAAAGTGTATTTATTACTTTAGAATGGAAAAAATATATAAGTAAATGATTTTCTTTCTGCGCTCTGTTTCTAGACTTTCACAAGCAGAACAGTAGATTCTGATTTTGTCTATCTGTCATAGAATCTCTACTTGTTGCTTCTTTCATTGTCGTCTCTACTCTTCCACCAACTCCCACCTTGAAACATGTGCATAAATTCTCCACTGCCCTCTCTGTCTGCATAGTTTCTGTAAGCCGATTGTCCTCTATCAGACCATTCCACTCTGTCCTCCAGCAGGCCGATCCAGAAAGGACTCCTACTCTCGTTTCCGTCTTCCTGCACCTGTTCATTTTCCTCTTCATTTCTGATGCTGACTAAATCAGTGTGATTCTCTCTGCAGTACAGCTGAGCCTCAAACCAGGTTTTCTTTCGAAGGATTAATCTGTATGCTCGCTCAACATCTGTATGGATGCAAGAATATGCTATATGTTTTGTTTACGTATATTTAACAGTTTATAAGGTAGTATTTTATTACCTTGCTTATAACACATGAAGTGTCTTGTCTCATTACATGTGAGAAATTCCCAGCCTCCATTTGAAGTCATAGCAGCGCAGCGTGATACCGCATGACTTGTAGTGTTTCTGCGAAATGTGACATCATCACCATTTGACCATTTATTACGGCTACTATTTCCTATAAAAGCACCGATCCATCCACTACGTGGACCAGTAGCATTAATGAGCAGTGTCCTTAATTGTATATTGTCTTGTTGGTCATAAACTGTGGCGAGGTCAGTGAAGTTTGTTTGGCATGCATTCACTGCAAGAGTTCTGGTGAATCTTTCATTTATTAGTTGGAATTCTCTTAGTCGGCCTTTAGCATTATGACTGGTTTTGTGCTCCAGGGTCACAAATGTTATAGATCTGTACATGGTGTACTGAAACGGTTAACATGAGATATTCAAACAATACAGCTTCAAATCTTAATTTCAAAATTATAATAATGATTGTAGTTCAGAATGGCATCAACAGACAGACAAATCATGCAATTCTGTTCACAAAACACTATCTTACAGCTAGATATGAAAAAAAGTGGATCATTAGGTCAGAGATAGCAAAGTTACTTCATTCTTACCTGGTGAGAAGGTTAATATGCTGGAGGAAACTGAAGACTTTTATATGTAATTCTATAGAGGGCAGGTGCTGACAGGCAAATTGATTCTGGGTAACGTAAATTAATCAGTAACTTCATTTATGGTGTTCATTCAGCTTAGGAGTTTTATCCAGGTCATAACAGTAATATTTATGAAGTCGAGTGCTTTTTGCAGTAAAAATACAGCCTAACCAAAACTGAGCTAACTTGTCTTTTATTCAATAAAATGGCATTATTGTTCATAAGATCCAATTCAAATGAAATTGATCAGAAGTGGTGGTGTAAAAAGTCATTTTTGGTGTTTATTAATTGTCCTAATATGGTGTGGTTGCACATGTCTGTGAATATTATATTCTTAGAACAAATACTTTGAGAAGTAAAAGTTCTATTGTCGGTCAGTGTAACGATGTGTAAATAAACGCTTGACGTCACCTGTGCACGTTTACGTATACACTCAATGGATTATGACGCTGAGCAGTGCAGACATTACTTTATGCTTCTTCCATAAACCCATAAATTCAAATCTGCAGTTTTGAATTGAGAAAAAAAACTTACTTCTTCCTTGACTGCGATCGCGTTTCCATCCATTCAATGTTTGCATAAACATACTGTACTGCCATAGTATAATATCAATATCATCTATAATGTGTCCATATTCAAATGCACTGGGCCCTGCAATGTCTTCAACTAATGCACTACATTCTGAACTTTATCAGTTCATGTTTGAGAAATGTATCTGACAAGTTATGATCATTTAAAAGGTTTAACTAATAGATATCACCATACTTCCCTAGCTGATTGATTACAATAGGAATTGCAAATCTGAAATGCTGTTTACATATTTAAATGAGGTGTTATCTAATTAAATATGCACTAGTTTGCGGAACAAAAAATCTGAACCTTGGATAAAGCCAGGTTCAAAATTCTTGTCATTTTGCTGACATATTAGCGTTTATATATAAATAAAGATGTGTATTGCAATTGAAATCTACAGACACAAATAGACAAAGTGCAATAAAATAAACACTTAAATGTATACTTTGGATGTTTTCATCCAAAAATGGATCTGTTGGATGTAGTCTGAAATAACATGATATGAAAACCCAAACAGATCTCCAAATTGACCAGTGCATGAAAAAACAATGCTTTTGTTTGTGGTGGCTTGCCTTAAATGGTAAATTAATAGCTTATTCTCTGTTTTAATATTTCATATTTAATACTTTTCTCTCAAAGTGATCTTCCTCAGAATCAATACACAGTAATGCATACATTTCTTCAGATTATTATGACATTACATGTTATATACACAAATCGTCTCCATTGACAGCGATTAAAAAGTAGCGGTATATTCTGGTAAAATAAACACTTTTAATAGCAACTTTAGTTTTTTTAATGATAACTTGTAGTGAAGAGTAACTGTGCTAAGAGCTAGTGCAGTTTCTTTGCTCTGTTTTGTGATTTCAAGATGGAAAAAAAGCAAAGCCCATGAAAGGGTCTGGATGAGGGTTCAGAGTTGTGATGGATCACAGGCGCTGGCTGAGTTTGCTCTCTACATGACTGATGCTTCTGTATTCGCTCACACGGGAGACTTCGGCTGGGTGTAAAATGTGTTGCTTGTGTTATTTAATCACAGTGATCAAAGCACATCTTTTCTACAGCCTCAGCGTTATATAGGATTGTCAATAAGTGCAGTGCTGAGTCTGCAGTATGTGATTTAGGGCTCTGTTGCACAGACCAGCATCACACATGCACAGCCCTCTCCCCAGAGCTTTAAAGTAGTTTTTAACTTTATAAAGCATCTGAAAGTGTGACACTGATGTAAAATGAGCCTTTTGTGCTGTAGTGTAGTGTAATGCAACACATTGCATTTTAATGAAACTTTGTCTGAGAAAGACCTTTTTTGCGTGAAGTTTATTATCAGAGCTCAACAAGTATGATAAGAAAAGAAAAAAACGATCAGCTTTAATATTCTGAAATCACACAGAATGAAACTGTTATGCCAAAATATGCAAATTTGTTAACCTGGTCATAATAATCTCATTTGTTAGAAATACAATCAAAACGACAAACCCTTTCAATATTTAGTGAACTTCAAGGTTTCCTAATCTCTAAACTTGTTCATACATAAATGTTATGTTTAAGATGCTGCCAATATGTTGATAATTTGATGTCTGTCCATCCATAAAAAATCAGTATGTTAAATCTCACTTTAGATACACAAGCCTATAAATACAAATAAGTTTCTGATTATAAAAAAAAACAAAAAACTCTCCAAACCATGAACCGTTAGCAATGCATTTTATGATGCGCTGAGTCATAAATAGTCAATGTGTTTAATTGCACACAGTTCTGTAATATTGTACTCACACAACAAGAGTTCATATAGTTGGCAAAAAAAAAAAAAAAAAAAAAGATATTCAATAATGTTGCTTAGACAATTTATGATTAGAGAGCCTGCAGATTATATGGATTTATTTATTTTATATTATATATTTATTTTACTTCTTTAATTTTCTTTACTATCTTTTGATTACGTTCTCCAATATTGGTTTAATGTACAATAATAAACGTTATTATTTTTAGATTAACTTTTTTTGTTGTTGCTATTTTTCTATATTAAATTACATTCTCCGATATCGTTTTAATGTTAAATTGCGTGATAGCTGTGAAAGACTTACAATTGACAACCATTTTATAGCTGTTATTAAATTAAATAGTAAATGTAGTATCCAGAATTTTTTTTAATTTACATTTTTTGCAGAAGTGTGAAGCTTAACACAGGTCTACTGTTTTATGTTTGCAACAGACCCGCAGATCACAGATAACACATTCATGATACTATTAAACTGGCTGCATGTCTCGGTTTACTTGCAAATTTGGCAAATGCAAATACTATCAACACAATATTCGCAATAAAAGGACTCAATGTAATGTTCATGAACAACTTTTAATGTTAATTCTTATTACGAGGCATAAAGGTTTACAACAAAATAATAAAACGAATGAATCAATGAGATAAACGTGAAAAAGGCAACAGAAACACTAAGTACATCATTACCAACTAGCTTCTAGTGCTAACTATAAGAGCTTTATTATACAAGAGCTGAATGATGCCGTTATTCACTATTGAACGCATGAGCTCTTTTTCCTTCTGGGGCGGCAGAGCGCTGAAAACTGTGCGTGCGATAAACAAAAAAGCATAAAAGAGAGGTATACCTCACATAAAACTCTAAATTTAGATCTGCAGTCTTTATCACACCATTTATATTGACCGTTCACCTTCTCTAAGGCACCGCAGTGCTGGGACATTTGATGTTCTGGTGCACTGCCTTCTTTCCAGTTGCTCCAGGGTCCCACATGGAGCCCATTGTACCAAGTCCAGAAACCGAAAAGTCGGCTCTGTCTAAGCCCCACCCACACTGGCTCTGAAATATGTTTTCTTTTTATTTCTCGCTCCATTTCTATCTGATCATCCTCAGACTCGATGCGCAGTAGTCAGTCCAGCTCTATTCTGATGACTGTTGCCGTAATCAAGAGCTTTCTCCCAGGACATTTTATAAGAACTGACATGAATGAAGCTTTCTGAAGAGAAGAAAAGAAAAAACTGTTATTAGTTACATGCTTTGATTTATTGAAGCATGCAGTAGGCTTTGAAATGTTGAATTCTGGAGCGTAAAATATTGTCTTAACCTACTGTAGCAAAGAGCACTGCAGGTATTCAGATTACTTTTGGACCAAGATTCCGGTAATTGTTTTGAGAGGAATGTAAAGCATCCTGCATGCTTAGTTTCTCGTCTCACAGTATGTATTTTTTTATAATCAGAATGTCCACCATGCAAGCCTGTAATTATACCCGAAGGCCAGTCCAGATAGCGTTACTCCCATTCACTGCTTCCTTGACTCGTTCATTTTCGCTTTGATTTTTTGATACTGACTAAATCAGAGTGATTATTTCTGCAGTGCTGCTGAGCCTCAAACCAGGTTTTGTTTTCAGGGATTTAACTATAGTTGAATGACTGTTGCCTATCTGTATGAATGCAAGAATAGACAATAGTTTTACTCATAATCTTTGTATATTTATAAGATATACAGTAAAGAGCCCAGGGATGATCACCTTGTTTATAACACATGAAGTACATTTTTGAACGACTCTGAAACACTCCCATGTTCCATCAGTGGTTAGTGCACCACAGCAGCTTTCCACAGTAACATTTCGGGTGATGTTGTTGAATGTGACAGGATCACCGTTTGACCATGTACAGCTGTTGGCTCCAATCCAGCCACAATGCATAAATCCATTCACTATCATTTTAGCTAGCATTGCATTGTCGTTGTCATCATAGATTGTGACGTGAGTCAGTGTAGTTATGTCTACAAGCATTCAGTGCATCATTTATCTGCATTTGTGTTTCATTTAGGAAGAATTTTCTTAGTCGACCTGTACCGCATGAAAGGGGAACAACAGAGAAGAGAGAGTCAGTTTTTAGTGAAATACTACTGACATCTTGACTGGAAGAAAATTCACATCTTTCAAAAACATGTAGGCTACACTTGTCCAACTTTGACTTGAACAATTCATTTGAATATGAATAGTTCTCGTCTAGGACATTCTAACTTAAAAATTTAATAAATCTACAATGTCTTAATGTCATGGGCTTTTAATCTACAAAATATACAATGCCTTAATGACTTACAATGTTATACTAATGAATTTTTAACAGGCAATGTATATATATATATACGCACACACATACACACACACACGCACACACACACACACACACACACACTAAATAATTAAACACAATCTTATCACTATTTTATCTCTGAGGACAGACAAATGTCACCATGTCCTAAACTGTGTTTTTAATAAAAGTAACATAATCATAAATGGTGTCTGAAAGAAAAAGACATGTCTACCATTTTCGTATCCATATGATCTCCTGATCAGTAACAGATGTCACTGTGTTAAAGACATGAAATTCAAATTCATTGTCATGTGAATGTCAATAAAGTCTCTGAGCTCATGGGATCTTCTAATGTGTCTCTTTCGAGTGATTCTTGAATGAATAAATCAGCTCATATAAGACTCTAAATATTTACCTAATAAGAAATAAGCTACAGCAGCAAACACCAACAAAACTGACAATCAGCTCATTACACGAGTCAGAAAACAGTGACTATGATTCATCCCGAATAAGTAAATGAGCTCATCAAATATCATGAGTCTGAGAGCAGATGAGAAGTGCTTCAGTCAGGAGGTCCTGAGACTCTGAGGCATATGAGGATGTTTGGTAGTTAGAGGGATTAACTAGTTGATTGACCAAGGTCACACGAGGCTTGTGAGAAGTTCAGTCACTGTCACATGCAGCTGTGGTTCTTTTCTGTGTTTGCAAGGCATTTTGAGAATTAGAGTTTTGAAGGATTGAGACAAAATCCTCCAAAAAACACAAGTTGCAGAAAAACCAGTGGCTCAGTGGTCTGAGTGTCACTTCTTGATGAAGTGCCAGTGGCTCAGTGTGGTTTAAATGTCTGTTCTTGGCACAGACAGTCCTAGTTTGAATCTCACTCTTGTGGTTAAAATTGGTTTTTACGCTGGTTTCTGACTGAATAAGACAAAACTCCAAAACAGAAAAACACAGGCATGGAAGAGCCTGTGGCTCAGTGGTCTGAACATCAGTGCTTGATGTGGGTGATCCTAGTTCAAATCTCTCTTTAAGTGGAAAATAGTTTAGTTGCACTGGTTTCTGACTGAGAAAGACAAAACGCCAAAACAGAAAAACACACACATGGAAGAGCCTGTGGCTCAGCAGTCTGAGTGTCAGTTCTTGACACAATAACTCCAAGTTTGATTCCCTCTATTGAGGTAGAAAAAAAGTTTAGTTTCACTGGTTTTTCAATAAATAAGACAAAACTCCACAAATTAAGAATTCTTGTAGGAGAGCTGGTGGCTCAGCAGTCTGAGCGTCGGTTCTTGATACAGTAGCTTAAAGTTTGAATCCATCTGTTGAGGTGGAAAATAATTTTGTTTCACTGGTCTTTTAATGCATAAGACAAAACTCTTAAAAAAAGCAGACTGCTTGTAGAAGAGCTGGTGGCTCAGCTGTCTGACTGTTAGTTCTTGACACAAAGGTGGGAAGAAAAGTTTAGTTTAAATAGTCTTTCAATTAATAAAAAAAAAAAAGACAAATTTCCAAAAAAAGAATAACAACTGTGGAAGTGCCAGTGGCTCAGTGTTCTGAGCACATCCTCTCTGAATGGAAAGGCTCCTGGGTTCGAATCCCAGCCTGGTCACTGAAGTGCTGTTGCATGACAGTCGTCTGGTTGTGAGCTGTGACAAGCTGTAAAGCAGATCAGGGCATGACCTCAGACGAGAGAAGGCCAGACACAAAGGGGGGAGTGAAGATCCAGATGCTCCCCCTGGGATGTCTGAGAGAATATCCAGCAGTGGTTATGAAGTGGGTATCAAGTTTTTTAATTTCGACTTCTAAACTAGATCCAAAACAGGCTAAGTCAACAATTCTTTCAAAATAGTCGCAGCACATTTTACCTGTTAAATGCTCCACCAGGACGCTCTACCGACTGACACCTGGATAAGGGTGTGTTTGGCCCATTTGTAACAAAGATTACTGTAGGCCTGTAAATGAGATGTTTTCCTCACAGAGATGAACATCAGCTCTAGACTCTTTGATCCATGCCAGAACCACTGACAGCTGAATGATTAAGACTACAACTGCATTTCATGAAAGGCATTCAGATGTAAACTTTGCTGATAAAGTGGAATTTATTTTAAGACATGAGGTTCGGGTTTTTACGCTGGTTTCTGACTGAATAAGACAAAACTCCAAAACAGAAAAGCACAGGCATGGAAGAGCCTGTGGCTCAGTGGTCTGAACATCAGTGCTTGATGTGGGTGATCCTAGTTCAAATCTCTCTTTAAGTGGAAAATAGTTATCAGATGTACCCAAACCTCATTCAAAAGATTAAACAACAGATTAAAAGTAACAGCATATGTTCTGAGAACAGAGATATCTGGAAACCATGAACAGCACACAAATGTCACATTTATCCTTTTATTGCATACACCTTAGTTTAGTTTCACTGGTTTTTCAATAAATAAGACAAAACTCCACAAATTAAGAATTCTTTTAGGAGAGCTGGTGGCTCAGCAGTCTGAGCGTCGGTTCTTGATACAGTAGCTTCAAGTTTGAATCCATCTGTTGAGGTGGAAAATAATTTTGTTTCACTGGTCTTTTAATGCATAAGACAAAACTCTTAAAAAAAGCAGACTGCTTGTAGAAGAGCTGGTGGCTCAGCTGTCTGACTGTTAGTTCTTGACACAAAGGTGGGAAGAAAAGTTTAGTTTCAATAGTCTTTCAATTAATAAAAAAAATAAGACAAAATTCCAAAAAAAGAATAGCAACTGTGGAAGTGCCAGTGGCTCAGTGTTCTGAGCACATCCTCCCTGAATGGAAAGGCTCCTGGGTTCGAATCCCAGCCTGGTCACTGAAGTGCTGTTGCATGACGATCGTCTGGTTGTGAGCTGTGACAAGCTGTAAAGCAGATCAGGGCATGACCTCAGACGAGAGAAGGCCAGACACAAAGGGGGGGAGTGAAGATCCAGATGCTCCCCCTGGGATGTCTGAGAGAATATCCAGCAGCGGTTATGAAGTGGGTATCAAGTTTTTTAATTTCGACTTCTAAAATAGCTCCAAAACAGGCTAAGTCAACAATTCTTTCAAAATAGTCGCAGCACATTTTACCTGTTAAATTCTCCACCAGGACGCTCTACCTACTGACACCTGGATAAGGGTGTGTTTGGCCCATTTGTAACAAAGATTACTGTAGGCCTGTAAATGAGATGTTTTCTCACACACAGATGAACATCAGCTCTAGACTCTTTGATCCATGCCAGAACCACTGACAGCTGAATGATTAAGACTACAACTGCATTTCATGAAAGGCATTCAGATGTAAACTTTGCTGATAAAGTGGAATTTATTTTAAGACATGAGGTTCTGTTAAGGAGAACTAAACTGAACCGTTTTAAAATGAAATTACAAAGTCACAGCTTATCAAAAAGCTAATGTCCTGAATTTGTCAGATGTACCCAAACCTCATTCAAAAGATTAAACAACGGATTAAAAGTAACAGCAAATGTTCTGAGAACAGAGATATCTGGAAACCATGAACAGCACACAAATGTCACATTTATCCTTTTATTGCATACACCTTATACATACAAATTGCAAAGATCATTCAAAAAGCACAGAGGCCGTTCGCCCCCTCAACAAAGGATGCTCCCCTGCTTCTCCTGCCACCTCCTCATGACCTCCAGCAGCTCTGAACCAGAAATCCCCTACATACA